GACAGCATCCCAGGAACATTTCCACTCCAGCTAGGTCTGCGCCTGCCTGCCGAGGTCATTAGGCAAGTGAAGGGAACCCTTCCCGGTGCCTAGAAAGGCTTTGGGGGCCCCCATGGCTTTGGGGATGCGGGATCTGTGCAGAGGAGGAAGGAGGCTTCCCCCCCCCCCCCCCGAGCAAGTGCCCAGAATAAGTGCCCAGAATGGTGGCTCCAGAAAGCCTGCTGCTGCTGCTGTGTGATTTCCAGCCTGGGGAGGCTGGCAGGGGCCAGGGCTCAGAAGGAAATGTTTAGCATCGTAGAAGCAGCAACCACTGCCAGTTTGCTCTCCTGGCTTTGGCCTAGGGTTTGGGTTCAGAAGCTGTTCAAGGAGCCAAATGAATCCCTAGGCTGCGTAAACCTTACTCAGCCTCTCTTTTTCCAAACTGAAGCCGTCTTTCGAGGGCCAGATCAAATACCACTTCCTCCAGGAAGTCTCCTCTGATGCTTGGCTGGAGCCCCTCCCGCCAGGTTGAGCGCCCCCTCCCCCCCGACTGCCCTGCATCATCACGTCAGGGCACTTACCACCCTTTACCTGGCATGGCTGTGATCTGTGTGCCTCCTGCACGGAGAGCTCCCTCGCGGGTGGGCTCTCTGGCCCGTCTGTTTACCTGGCACAGCCCCGAAAGGGCATTCAGTGTGTGGTCACTGAGTGAACAAGGATCAAAGCAAGTAGCCTTCAGATTGGAATATCAGCTTTCCAATCCTCCCTTTAGCCCCTTCTCCTTTTTCTTTTTTAATCTAAATCTGGATGTCCGCTAAGGCAAGGGCCGTTGGAAGAATGATGGGGCTCATTTGTTTTTTTCCTTGAAATGATGAAAGGCTAAGGCCCCCTGAGAAGCAGACAGCTTTCCAAGACAAATGAAGAGAGCTGAACTCCTCGTGCCTTCAAGGAAATTTCAGAGTCAGCAAATTGTGTTCTGATGACCTCTTCTCTCCACAGTTCAGAGTTGTCTGAGGTCTTGGGCTAGTGCAGGACATTCAGCAGGGTGAGTGGAGAGCCTTCCTAGGTGCTGGGCTGATAGGCGCCTGTATTTGCACATCCAGCCCTTTCTTGCTTTATCTCTGTTGTCTAGTTGCTGGGAGACTATGACAAGGTCAAGGCTGTGTCTGAGGGCTCAGACTGTCAGTGCAAGTGTGTGGTGAGACCCCTGGGCCGAGACGCCTGCCAGAGGTTCATTGAGGGGACCTCTAGGAAGGAAGACTTCTACACCGTGGAAACCATCACCTCGGGCTCGTCCTGCAAATGTGCCTGTGTCGCACCCCCGTCGGCCCTCAATCCCTGCGAGGGAGACTTTCGGCTCCAGAAGCTGCGGGCGGCAGACAGCCGGGACTTGAAGGTAGGACCTGGTGTGGGGGCGAGGCCAGGGGTGGGAGGACGCCTTCGGGACCCAGGCCTCTGGCAGAAGCTGTTGCAGGGACTGTGAGGCCTTTGAGTAAATGGGACGTGTCTTAGCCTGTAAAGGTCAGGCCCTGGCATCTGGAGTACTGTGTGTGTCCAAGGCTGGTCATGTGACAAAGCGGTCGTTCGCAATCCGGACGTCTAAAGGGGATGCCGACCGCAAAGTGTGCCTGCCTCTCCCTATGGAGCCAGGGAGGCTGGGCCTGGGAGCCACTGCCAGGCCCGGGGGCCAGAAGTGTTCTTCTCCCGGAGAGCTGTTGCCACGATTTACTGTCAGCCCAGCACGCACCCTAAAGAGACGAGAGACGCGGAGGGGCGAGCCTGTCAGTCCTCAGCCCGCGGGCCGGGGTGACCCAGGGTAGGAGGGGCCTGGGGCCGGCTGTGGGTCGGCATCAGACTGTGATCCTAGTCCGGGGGGGTGGGGAGGGGGGGAAGCTCAGGCCTGCCTGAGGCTGCTGCAGGGGTGGGCTGAGGGCTTTGTCCGATCTCTGCCCTCCCCGCTTCATTGCAGTGGGGGGCGGCAGGGGGGAGCGATGGCCTGGGCCTGGTTTTGCAGTCACACAGACTTGGGTTCAGGTTGTTGCTCCGCTATTCTTTGCCGTGTAATCCTACTCAAGGTGCCTAACTGCCTTGCCTGACCTGGGTCTCCTTGAGTAGCAAGTGGGGATAACAACGTCTGCTTTGGGGGGTTGCTTTGGGAACCGATGGATGACCCTACGGAGTACTTGGCACGGTGCCTGATACGCAGTCAGGGTCAGTAGACACGCGTCCTGTTCGTGAATGACCAACGTGAAGAGCTGCCTCTGTGCCCGTGCCTGGTCCGTGCTCGGTAGCTGGCGGTCATGGATGCCCTTCTCGCAGAGCGGGGGTTAGCAGGACAGTGCTTTAACATCCTGCCCCGGGATCCAGTGTGCCTCAGAGCTGCAGCCCCACCATCAAGCCGCTCTGTGAACCACCCAGTTACAGGATTGGACTCCTGGGGGCTTCTGGAACAGCAGCAGGCAAAATTTTCTATTGGGAGCCACTCAGAAAATCATCCCAGTGCGTGCCAACAAGATGCCTTTTTGCGGCTCTCACCCACAGTTCAGCTACTTTCCTCTGGTGGGGCGGAAGGAGGGCTTCTGAACACAAGTGTCTCATGACATGGAATTCTTCATCTACCAGCAAGGCTGGGAGACGGGTGGGGAACAGAAATTGCAGAAGGGTGTCCAGCGGATTCTTCCAGGGACTGGTCCTTGGCAGGGAGGCCCAGTTCAAGCATCTCTCACCTGTCCCTTTGCCTGCACTCTGGGTGACCTGGATATCACCAGATATTCGGCCACCGTCCTCCCAGAGTACTGGCGGGAAGGACAGCATTAAAAGCACTGAGAAGGCTCGCGCCCTACGATGGCATGCTATCGCAGAGATGGGTCATGGGGCCTCTTTTACCCCGTGGTTAGTTTAGTTTTAGTGCTGAGGGAAAACTGTTGGTATCTCCCAGGGTGGACAACGAGGTTGGGTATTTCAGGAGCACATCCTCAAGGCATCGAAGTTTATGAGCCACTTTGTTGAGTATTTATAGATCACCTCTTGTGGGCCAGGTGCTGTGCTAGAGATCTTGGGGGAACAAAGATGGGGCACCACTTTCAAGGAGCTCAGCGTCTAGGAGGAAAGACAAGCAGGCATACACCTAACAGAAGAAAAGGGGTCTGAGCGATTGGGTGAAGATGTGTAGACTTGTTTCACTTGTTCTTCTAGGATTCTTTTTTTTTTTTTTTTTAATTTTTTTAAATTTTATTTTTGAGACAGAGTGAAACAGAGCATGAGCAGGGGAGGGGCAGAGAGAGAGGGAGACACAGAATCCGAAGCAGGCTCCGAGCTCCTGGCTGTCAGCACAGAGCCCGACGTGGGGCTCAAACTCACAGACTGTGAGATCATGACCTGATCTGAAGTCAGACGCTTAACCGACTGAGCCACCCAGGCACCCCTAGATTCTTCCATTTTCTTATCTGAGTATTCCAGGGGGCACAATACTTCCCACCTACAAAACGCCAGTTTCCAAGAGCCCCCCTCTCCGTTCCTGGCCAGTGGCCTCTCTGTTGAGCCTCCAGCTTGGGGATCTGACAGGAGAAGTCTCGTCTTGGGTGTCACACCCCAGCCCTCGACTAACCTGCTACTCACGTTCCATAGCTTTCCACCATCATAGACATGCTGGAAGGAGCCTTCTATGGTCTGGATCTCCTGAAGCTGCATTCTGTCACTACCAAACTGGTTGGACGGATGGATAAACTGGAGGAGGTAAGGAAGATTCTGGGTTTCCATATCTTTCTCTCCATCAGGCCCGAAAGCATATCCAACTTCCCACAATATTTTTTCAGAAAGCATGTATCCTGACTAGACTTCACCTATCCTGTGCTTTGGGAAGAAAACATATACATTAAACACCCATTCAAACTCATGCCAAATCGTGGGTGACAAAGAATTGATGAAATATAAATGCAAATACCTTCTTTTTTCACACACAAGAACCATATAATCAATGTATTTCTTTTTTTTTTAAGTTTATTTGTTTTGAGAGAGAGAGTGTGTGTGCGTATGTGTGCTCAAGAGGGGGAGGGGCAGAGAGAGAGGGACAGAGAGAGAAAAGAATCCCAAGTAGGCCCATGCTGTGAGTGCAGAGTCCCACACAGGGCTTGAACTCATGAACCGTGAGATCATGACCTGAGCGCACATCAAGAGCCAGATGCTTAACCCACGGAGCCATCCAGGTGTCTCCATCGTATTTCTGTTTTTACCTTGACTTCCAGGGAACTCAGAGCTAAATGAAACGTAGAAGTACAGTAAGCCTCTCACTTCCGGTTTTAAGATGGCGGCATCTCCCTTCTGGGTGTATGGCTGTTGGTTTCTTCTTCTGGTTTTGCTTTGTCATCTTAGCCATTCTGCTTTCTGTCTCTGTACGTGTGCGTGCATTTGCGTGGTAACGCACCTCCGGTTCACGTTAGAGGAAAAAGACGTGAAAACGGTTACTGACGCATAATATTCCCCGCTGGAAAACATTCAGGCTCTTCACCCCCTGGGAGAACGGACTGATAGTGTCGTTTCCACAGACAGGCATCACATGGTTATGACCAGGCTCCAGGGAGATGTGTGGCTGGCACCATGGTTTCCAGGGGGTGGTGTGTGGGTCGGGGTGCGAGAGAGAAATCCTCACACACCACAGTAACCTGGACACCATTCCATTGCTGTAATGCTCTGACACATAGATAAGTCATTTAATCACCAGAAAAGGGACATTCCCCACTCACCCTTCTTGGTCGGGAGCTTACATAGGTGTCATTGCCTGGCATCCACGTCTTGAACTGATACCTGAAACGGTGACTCAAAAAACTAGGTCTGTTCAATCTTTAGAATGTTACCGTAAATGGCAAGTTTAATAACGGAATGATTAATAGACCAATATTCCTCATGAAAAAGTGGGCTTTGGGGGTGGGCTCTCATGGAGGAGCTGGGGTTCCATGATGGCTGAAGAGCAGCCGCAGGATGTGAGAAAGGGAAGACTCTCCAGTTTGGCAGCAAGAGCGCTCGCTGGGCCGGGAGTCAGGACGGAGCGGACGCCTCTCTGTTGGCTGCTCCCCAGCGGCTGTGTCTCACCTTCCCCATCTGTAAAGTGGGAGAGGTGCCCTACATACCTTGCATGGTTGCTCAGGGGATAAAAAAGTGAGCTAATCATCTTGGAAACACTTTGAAATGGTTAAACGAAACAAGGCGCTCGGGGTACGGCCAGGGAGTGAGTGGGGGCAGCATCATCTCTCTGCTGCTTTGTCCGAGTCGCTGGGATGCGGGTGATGAAACGTTGCCCTTGCGAAGGTTGGTTCCAGCCCCTTCCTTACACCCCAGTGTTCCCGGAAAGCGAACGCCGCTTCCTTGTCCGCCCGTCTTTAGGCTTGACTCCCCCTGTGCTGTGATGAGCGTTTTCTGACCATGGCCACCAGCCCTGGGAGGCTTGGTGGGTCCCCAGCCTTTCAGTTACCAGGTCTGCTGAGAAGCATCGGGGCCCTGGAGCCTGAGCTTCACAGACAGTTCGAGGCGGCCAACGGGACCACATCAGCCCACTCTTGCTGAGGGCACTTCCCAAGAGAAGCTGGCCTCATCTTCACTCTCGCTGTCCCCAGCATTGGCGGCTGGCGTGGAGAGACTGGGAATGGTCAACGCCACCCTTCTGTCGAAGGGCTTCATGTGGGCTTGGGATTCTTTCTCCTGATTCTTTCAAATGGGCTCAAAAGAAGTTAAACCAGGACCCAAGTCGTCCTTGGAAATTGGAAAGTGCTTTAACCCTTGGCGTCCAGCACCATCCAAACGTGCAATGCCCTTTCTGAAAGAGGGTTGTTTTTTTTTTGTTTTGTTTTTTTTAATAGAACAGGGCGGGCGGCCACTTCCGCTTTCACCTGGTTTTCATTCTGTCTGCAGAACAGCCTGGAGCCTGGGAAAGACAGCTCCAGGGGTGGAGCACAGTGCTTGTGAGGCCAGAGTCAGGCGCTGGGCCTCCGAGCGCTTGGTTCAAGGGCTGTGGTCTCTTTGCAGCCTGTTAGCAGCTGAGCCCTTACTGCCGGCACAGGAGAGGAGTGGGTTTAGTGGGTGAATTTGGTGCAGTCACACAATAACTGGATTTTTGCCAAAATTGATCCTAGTTCTTTCAGCAAGAGTGATCTCTTTTCCTTTTTCTTTTTCTTTTCTTTCTTTCTTTCTTTCTTTCTTTCTTTCTTTCTTTCTTTCTTTCTTTTTTTTTGAGAGTGATCTCTTTTTTAAAACCATGGTATGTTTAGTAGCAAAAACTGGCCCTTCGTATTAATAATAATAATCCCCTATATTTATATAGCAATTATGGTTTTCAAGCCACCCCGTATACATTCCGTACATTTGTCCCTGTGAGCTGGGCAGGATGTGAGGCCTGTGGAAAGTGCTAGGGAAACGTAGGCAGGAGCTCAGGCCTTCTGGCTCCTGGGCTGGGGCTCTTTCTAATCAGCCCCGTAAGTTGCTTTGAATCATTGCTATCTGCCCTGGAAGCATCAGTTTTTCCTAACTGGAGCTGAAAACAATAGCTCTTCCAAGGGAACTTCTAGGCAGAACTGTGGCTGTGTCCCAGAATTCCTGTTAAATAGGATTAGCAGGAGCGAGAGGTTCCGCACAGCAGGCAGTCCAAGGCTGCAGGGTGCTGTGGCGTGGCAGTTGTCACAGATGGGTCCGGGCCCTGGGCCCACGGAGCAGAGCACCGTCTCCCGGCGTGACATCCAGCCTCTCGTCTCCCGGCTGGCGCTGGCTGGCTGTCTGTCTGCAGTCGGTGGAGAGGCGCGGTGTTGGGTAAATGGGGAAAACACTCCTTCTGCAGCCGGGCTCTGCGGGAGGAATGGAAGTACAATCCTGCTCCTGGTCTTTGGATATTCTGGAAGCCCAAGGGGAGTGCTTCGGAGGTCAGACCGGACAAAGGGGGCAGATTGAAGGGGCGTCTTGCCCAGAGTAGGATCAGGGCCTGGCAGTGGGAGCGGGCACACGTGTGCATCCCCGCCCCTGGGATGTAGGAGGACGAAGGAATGGAAACTCCATTTGCAGATGAAAGAGGAAGGAGAGAGAAGTCTAAACCGTTCGAGTCTCACCTTTTGGTAAAATCAACTCCGAGAGCTCTGCTTCGTGGAGCGATTTTGGTGAAGCTGTTGTTCTGAATTGTGAAAATAACACACGCATAGAAAAGTACATACACGGTGAGGGTACAGCTTAAATTATTACAAAGCCGGGCATCTGGGGGCTCAGTCAGTTAAGCGTCCGACTCTTGACTTCGGCTCAGGTCATGATCTCATGGTTTGTGAGTTAGAGCCCTGCACTGTCTGTGCGGAACCTGCTTGGGATCCTCTCTCTCTCTCTCTCTCTCTCTCTCTCTCTCTCTGCTCCTCCCTGCTTGCATTTTCTCTCTGTCTCTCTCTGTCAAAATAAATAAACTTAATAAATAAACTTAAAAAAAGATTATAAAGCAAATGCCCATGTAACTACCACCCAGCTCAGGAAAGCTCAGCGCCCCCCACATGGCCTCTCCTCACACCCCTTCCCTGAAGTGAACCTCTGTCCTGACTTTTATGTTAATCATCTTCCTTGCTTGTTTTTTTTTAAACATTTTCATTACCTAAGGATGCATCCCTAAATATACTAGTTTTGTCTGTTTTTGAACTCTAAATAAAGAGTCCTACAGAATTGTGTGTGTCAGTGTGTGCACACACGTGTGTGTTAGGCTTCTTTCACTCATTTGTGTGTTTTTTTAAGATTTTATTTTGTTGTTTTTTTTAAACATTTATTTTTAAAATATATTTGTTTATTTTCGAGAGAGAGGGAGAATGTGAGCGGGGGAGGGGCAAAGAGAGAGGGGGAGAGAGGATCTGAAGTGGGTTCTATCTACGCCGAGAGCAGAGAGCCCTGGACATGGGGCTCGAACTCACAAACCATGAGATCATGACCTGAGCCGAAGTCGGACGCCCAACCGACTAAGCCAGCCAGGCGCCCCTCAATTTTGTTTTCAATAGTTTTTAAGTAAATTCCACGCCACGCGTGGGGCTCGAACTCGTGACCCAGATAGCAAGAGTTACATGCTCTACCCACTAAGCGAGCCAGGCACCCCTTGTTTTTAATAGTTACCTACGTGGTTTTGTGTCCTGTAGTTCATTTACTTTTATCGCCGTGTAGTAGTCTATCGTGTGAATGTTCCACGGTTGATCACTCTGTTGTACTGATGATGGATACGGGGTGTGTTTTCAGTTTTATAATTCACAGTAGCCCAGGAGTCTCCCTGTACATGCACGTCCCTGTCTGTGTCCCTGGCCCACACGCGCGTGCATTTCTCTGTGGTGTGTAAGTAGGAAGGGAGCTACTGGGACGTTAGTTACGCTCATCTTCATCTGTAGGGCGGGGGGTTGCCAAGCTGTGTTCCCAAGTGGTAGTTCAAGTTTACGTTCCCTCCAGCGGGGACTGAAAGTGCCGCACACGTCCTCGCCAGCACCTGCTGTGGTCAGACTTTCTAGCTTTCGTCAGTTAGGAGAGTGTAGCAGAGCAGGGCCATTTCACTGTATTCCAGAAACCTAACCCCCCACACATCTTTTCTGTTCGCCTGGTGGAGGCCCGAAGCCCCACGGGCGCTCCTCGAGAGCTGGTCCAGGGAGAAGTAACATCCAAAGTGGTCAGCGGTCCAGGACCTTGGATGTGGCAGAGTAAGGCTGACCCTCTCCTGGCAGTGGCTGGGGAGGGGAAGGAGAGCCAGG